CCCCCCCCCCCCCCAAAAAAAAGTTTGATATTTTCTAAAAAATAAAAGTTTTACCCCATCCCTTGTAACCCTCTACTCCTAATTTTAATTTATTTTAAACATTTTTCTCATTTTGTGTTAGATTTGTATGAACATATATTTTTAGAAAACAAATTTTTAGTAGTGTAACAAATTAACATAAATAAGTAAAAAATAAAAAATTGTCTTGCAGTTACAAGTAAAAAATATTTTTGATATGTATATATCTAACATAAAATGAGAAAAAAAATTGGAAGCGGAGGATTAGATGGGACGGGTAGAATTTTTTTAAAAAATAAAATAATATCTAAATTAATATTTGAGTTGGTGGGGGTGGGGGGGGGGTAAAAAAAATTGAATTCTTTTATAAAACAAATTTAAACAAAAAGAACTTAAAAGAATGGCCGGGGAGGAAGTGATGAAGTAGGGTAAGAAAAATATTTTATATTTTTTAAAATAAAAGAAATAATATTTTTTTGGATAATAATTTTTAAATTTTTAATTTTAACTAATATTAATAATTTATTTAATTTTGTCAAGGTTGAATATTCTTTCCATGGTTGTGATGTGATAATTTTTAAAAAGATAGTGTGTATTACACATTATGATAAGAGTGATATAAAAGAGAGAGAGAAATGTGTTTCTCAAACTAAAACGTGATAGTTTAAATATGAATCACACACTCTGAATAGTTTAGATATGAAACTCAAACAAAGGGTATAGTGTAGGTGTATTTTTGAAACTTATCTCTTAATTAAATGACAAAGCTTCTCCGAATTTCTAACCTACTTGCGTTCAAGACCAACCTTTTCTTTCCATTAAGTATTATCTTTACAATAACAATCATAGGTGTATCTTGCGGGCTGTTCAATCTGATACCCTTCGTTAAAAGTTTATAATATATATAGAAAATTATACAAAGTATATAGGTCAAAACATACTTTTCATATATATATATAAAGGAAAAATTATGCGTAGAAGAAAACAGATACTAGTTAATTACTTAATATAGATATGATTTGCCTTAGTTACAATTCACGACCTACTTTAGTTTAAATTACGCGGCTCAGCTCACTAGTTTTGTATAATTCACACGTTTGTATAATATAATTTGTATAATTCGAAATTTGTATAATATAATTTATATAACTGCTTACACTT